GGAAAGAAGTTGTCTTGGTCCCAATAACCATTCACTGCTATGAATTTCGTGGGCTGGTACGGACCTTGTTCCCGAGTCTGCGGGATTACGGTTAGTTGGTACATAATTCCATTGACTTGGAGAGCTAAATTTCCTTATTTTCTCTACTCTATTGGCGACGTAGATGAAGAACCTTCTTGTCTCGTTACTGATGTAACCTAAAACCACTTTACTGTCTGTGTAGAATTTTACGGTGTCTATATGTAAATCTAAATTATCCATGACGGTTTGGGTGATCTCAACTGCTAATACAGCAGCTGATAGTTCAAGTCGTGGAATAGTATGACCACTTGTTGGTGCAACTTTAGCTTTCCCAAGAATGAAACCTATGTTTGGTTCACCACTACTGTCGGTCGTGCGTAGATATGCAACAGCTGCTATGGCTTTTTCTGATGCATCAGAGAAGACATTTAACTCCTTTGTGGCGGTTTTGCTGAGATACGGCACGTAGGTACGTGGAATGCGCAATGTTTCGATAGCAATTAGAGTATCTCTCCAAGATTTCCACTCAGCTGCTGTCTCATCAGAGAGAGGTTGGTTCCAATCGACGGTTTCTGGTACTATTTTCCTTAATAGGAGTTTCCCTTGTATAATCACCGGAGCCAAAATCCCAGAGGATCGTAGAGACTGTTTATCGTTGATAAAATTCCTCTCCGAGTGATCGGTTTGTTTTCTGATGTTAATTGAAATAAGAAGTTGTCAGTGTTTACGTCCCAGCTGAGCCCAAGACTACGTTGTAGGGGTTTGCTGTCGGATTCTAAGTCTAGATCCTTCAGATTTGAAGCCAAATCACTGGCATGAAACGCAGACATAACTTCCGCACAATAAGAGGCGAACTTGTGAAGCCGTAAGTTTCCATACTTTGCCAATGCTTCCTGTGTGTCCTTCATGAGCTTAACAGCTTCCTCTTTTGTAGGACATGATGTAAGACCGTCGTCGACATAGAAGTCTCTTGTAACAAAGCTAGTCACGTGACTGCCGAACTCTTGTTCTGATGCCTGAGCTGCTTTTCTGAGTCCAAGCGTAGCAACGGCAGGTGACGGACTATTTCCAAAAACATGAACTCTCATGCAGAATTCGACAAGGTTCTCTTGTAGGTCGTTGTTTTTATGCCATAAAAATCTCAGATAATTTCGGTGGTCTTTTCTTACTACAAAGCAGTGAAACATGTGTTGAACGTCTGCAGTTACTGCGACCATTTCTTTCCTGAAACGCAGCAGTACTCCCAAGAGATCATTGGTCAAGTCTGGACCTGTTAGCAGGACGCTGTTGAGTGAAACTCCGTTGCATTTGGCAGATGAATCAAACACACCCCTAATCTGATCAGGTTTCTTCGGGTGATAAACACCAAACAATGGTAAATACCAGCACTCTTCATGTTCGTCCAACGGTGGAGCGAGCTCTGCATGATTATTGTCTAGGATCTTACTCATAAATGTGAGGAAGTGTTCCCGCTTTACTAGGTTTCTTTTCAGGCTTGCGTCTAACATATTAGCACGATGAAGAGCTTGTGGTCTGTTGCTAGGCAAAGACTGTCTTGGCACTCGGAACGGTAACGGTGCTACCCAACTTCCTTCCGAGTCTCTGACAAATTCGTTGTCCATCTGTTTCATAAACATTTTGTCTTCAAATGACATTCCGGGTTTATCATCGTCCCTAGTTTTTTCAAAGAGAGGCGATTGTAAATCTTTCTTAACGGGGTCTGTGTAGTTTTCCCGAATGTCGAATTTGCTTGTACATGGTTGAAACGTTGACGGTTGTCCTGTAGGTAAAATGTTGGTTATTTTGACATTTAATTCAAGAGGCACATGCTGCTTGTTAATGCAAGTTTCTCCTATCACTACCCAACCCAGTTTCAACTGTTGTGCATATGGAGTTCTGGGTGGTCCTATGCGCTGATCCAGGACGTGGTGTGCCTCTATAAGGTCTCTGCCAATTAAGAGAAGAATTTGGCAATTTTCCTCTATTTGTGGAATGCTACCTCTGAGTTCTTTTAAATGATGGTGATGCATTGTGACTTCAGGAGTCGGTATTTCGTCCCTATTATTAGGAATATGATCACATTCTATCAGTACAGGCAGGTCAAATTTGTCATTGCCATTTATTGATTCCATGACGAAACCTCTTCCTCTTTTCCCGGAAGTGACTACTCTGCCGGAGCATGTTGATAAGGTATAGTTCTCCGGTTTGTCTTTTACGTCGAAAAGGTTGAAGAATTCAGGCGATGCTAGTGACCGGTTGCTTTGGTCGTCAATGATGGCGTACATCCGGATAACTTTGTCCTGGTTATCTTTGTGATAAACATTCACAGGTAGTATTTTAGCACAAGATTTCCCGCTATATGTATCCTTGCAGATCTCAGTACAGGTAGAGTTCACTGAGGTTGACTTAGTTTCAGCGGATTCTGTTGGCTCCCCGCCGTAGGCTTCCTTGGGCGAGCTAGACTGAGAACTTGCAGGTTGCTGTGGTCTAGTTATGTGAAGTGCGGTAGTGTGTTGTTTACTTCCACATTCTTTACAACTTATGCGTGCATTGCATTCCCGGCTCCTGTGTTTGGTAGAATCACAACACTTGTAACAGACATTGTTTTCTTTCAAAAGACCTTTGCGTTCCTCTATTGATTTGGCTCGGAACGCTCGACATTCATTTAAGGAATGCTTTGTATTGTGCAGAATACAAAGACCTTGTTTGCTGGCGTCTCCAGATTGCTGCTCAACCGCTGTTTTATGAGTACAAACTTTAGTCTTGGGGTAAGACGTGAACCTTGGCGCAGCACCTTTTGTATTTGGTGTGACTTTTGACCCAAAGATGAATCCAGGATCGTTTTTAATTCTGCTGATTTCACTGATGAATGCAGATAACTCTGTAAAAGGAGGAAAGGCAACGCCGTGGTTAGATTTGTATCTAGACGCCCTTGTAATCCACTTTTCTTGGAGTCCATATGGCAGTTTTTCCACAATAGGATTTATCCCGGACGAAGAGTCGAAATAAGCTAGCAAACATCCCAGCTTGGGATTTTCCTTGTGATATTCTATTTCTGATAGAATGTCAGACAGTTCATAGAGACGTGCGTTGTCCTTATTCGTCAAGGTTGGGAATTTGGCAAGTTTACTCGTGAGTGAGGCCTCCAACATTTCTGGAGCACCATACCGCTCGTCAAGCCTCTTCCATAGTCTTTGTATACCTTTTGTAGGATTATTGGCGTTCGACGCTCTTATGCTAATGGCATGTTTAGCAGACTCTGGACCGAGCCACTTGATCAGTAAATCAATCTGTTCCGAGTCAGAGACTTGCAACTCGTCAGTCACGTTCTTAAAACTTGCTTTCCATGTATGAAAGGATTCTGCCCGATCGTTAAAGCTTGTTAGTCGGGAGAAAAGCAGGTCCTTACGTAAAAGAAATCTAGTTATCTCCGATGTAGGGTTGATTTGTTGCTGGTGTGCAACAGGGATCTCTTCTTTAACACCCTGTTTTTGGTGTTCAGCAGGGATCTCATCTGAAAGGCCTAGTTTTTGCATGCCGGTTACTATTCCCAGATCTGGGATTAAGGTAACTTCCGGTGACTTAGTATCGGAAGGCAAGACAGCAGATGTCTGTGACGGCAAGTTCAGTGCCACAGATGGCACGAACGCTGGTGCTTCATGACTCAGCTCAATCTTAACAGGAATTTGCTTTTGAGGTCCTGTTACTTCCCGTACAGCAGTTGGTACAGGATGCTTATTGACGAAATCTTTCACACGCTGGAGAGGGTCTTCCGTTTCATCAGGGAGATCGCTAAATGCTTGGCTGTCGTCGTATTCCAGGATACGAGCCTCTACTTCTGCGGCTGCAGCTTCTCTCTGTGCTTCAAGAAGGTTAAATTTGGCTTTCAGCTCGGTCTTTTCCCGGCTTACTCGTGCGGCTTCTTGTTGCATTTGAGCCTTCCTGCGCATGGCCTCTTGTTCTAAGTGAACTGTTCTCTGTGCGGCCTCCTGTTCTAGTTGAACTTTACGTTGAGCGACTTCTTGCTCCATTTCTGCCTTTTTACGTGTGGCTTCCTGTTCCATTTCAGCCTTTTTGCGTGCTGCTTCCTGTTCCATTTCAATTTGTCTGAACAGGGCTTGTTCCTCTAACATTGCCTCCTGTTGTAGGATAAGGGCATGTTTTTCGACAAAGGCTATTTTTGACTTGGCAGCCTCTGCCTTCGCACGCTTTCTCCGTGCTAGGCTTGACATGTTTGACACGTTAGAGCTACCGCTGTGTGAGGTTTTCTTACCCTTTGAGGTCTTTGTTTTAGTGGATTTGGCCTTTGTGAGGGCGAGGCGATGCTCGTGTAGTTTTTCCATAACCAGTTCCACTTTGGACAGACGAAAATCCAATGAGAGATTACATGCTTCTATTTCTTTTTGACTCTCCGATGTTCTGGTCCTTTTCAGAAAGTCCAGGAATTCATCTGTGAGCCTACGATAATTATTACAGGCTTTAACGAGTTTGTCCTGGGCTGTTAGGAGTTGCTGGAGCTCGTTAGGAGGCGTGGTGACTTCCAATAACTGGGATTCAATGTCTGTCCAGAGAGCCTCTTGTTCCTGACAGAACTTGTCACGTTTTTCTGTGAAAGCTCCTTTTCCTTTTTCCGTGAGGTCACGTACTCGCCTAGTCTCGGGATTTTCATCTGAATGTGTTGTATTAGACGGATTTTCTAATAGTTCAGGGACATCTCCCTCTTGGGGCTGAACCTCTTCTTGCTGTTCCACGTGACTGGGATCCATGGTGACTCAACGTTGTTGGGTTGCTGCCTAGTACACACAAGTTATGTAGTCCACTGTCAGTGTAAAGGTATTTACGTTGCTACGTAGTCGTTCCTTGTCTGGATATGTAAAGACAGGTAGTCGTCAATTTACTATGCTGAGCCTGACTCAGCTAGTATAACCATGTGATTGTATCGCAATCTCGGCAAATTATAAAGAATAACAACTTGTGTGTGAAGATTGTAGATTATAATTCCACCAGAAGGGATACAGGAGTTTTTACAGAGTGTGTATTGTTTGGTAAACTGAAAGAAATAAAAATACAATATTTTACAATATGCACGAAAGAAATATTTGAACGTTCAAGACAATATTAATATCAAGTCAAAAACGAAAGTAGAATTCTCAGTTCAGTTCATAGAAATAAACAATTACAGTTCATATTTGTTGAATCAACGTGTTTGTCAATTTAACGGAATTTATATTTAACAGTTTATAATCGATTTGAAACGTACTTGACGGTGATTTGTCACAATATCCACAGGAGCAGTTTTGTCGTGGCATCCATTTGTAATAGACAGGTGAGGAAGAGAAAGTAAACGGTAGTGAACATACGGATAAATCCAGATCATTTCCGGAAAATATGAATGTCTGAAAATTCAATCCAATAGATGCCGTAGCAAATACAATTGATAACGTGATCCAGAATAAAAGACACACTCTTTTGAAACTGTGCCATGACGTAAGTACATGTATGACAGTTAACAGGAAACAAGGAGGAATACCATATAAAACATAAATACAAATTATGATACATTACCATCGCTTTTTTTTCTTATCGTCATCATATAGTTACAGTCATGCCTTCAATTGCAAATGTACCCCATGCAAGCACAGTACAGCATCCAGCTTGCATTATAATTTAAGTGTAACAAGAAAATATTTAACTGTGCAATATGTTGCAAAGGTACTTATTTTCTGTGAAATAGGTTTGAGCGGAACTTATATTCATTGATTTCTATGAAATATGTTCGTTAAAAACTAATATCACAGGAACTTATTTCACTTTTTTAAAACTTTTAATATTGGAACAAAATTCATGGAGCTGTGATTTCTGTTCTGGAACTTATTTCACATTTGGTCAAAAAATTAGTTCCGGAACAAATTATACAGTGCTGGAACTTATTTTCTGTGATATAAATTCCGGTGGAACATATTTCCTATGAAAGTTGTTCCGGCGGAACAAATGTCACGCCGGAACAAATTTTTTGTTACACATACACATGTCCATAATAATATCGGTGCAGTACTAACTGCCAAGCACACTTTTTTCTATTTTTATTTGATTAAAGTTTATAAAGCAACAATAATGTATATAATATAAACTTATGTTGATTATATTGAATGAACAAGTAAAAGCTTTTCTAAAAAGCTAGCCGTCTCGTAGCTGATGAAATTTGAAATTGTTTTTCCGTGCAGAATAGCATTGTATAGTGAATTTCAAAAAATAAACGACAAATACTAGTTTTGAGATTTTCTGTTTCTTTTTTTGTGGGGAATCACAGGCATTTGTCTCTGATTTTTTCCGTATATACCTTAATATAACATTAAGGTATGATATGTTATTTTTAGAGACAAATGCCTGTGGGGGAATGTATAAACACTGAAAAAAGGGTGGATACTTACTCAATCATCTGCGTTTGTGTCTGTTTATGCATAGTAGTCTCGAAAAGTGTATAGAGTGCGAAAGGTAGTAAAATTTAAATACTAAAGAACAAAAATATTTTTCAAAAGATTTCTCACATCTTTTCAAAAATGATCATTAAAACTTATATTAAAAAATCTTGTATCTGCCTTTTGTCATTCAAAACTAATTAAAACGAGAAGTGTTGATATCTAGAAACACTTAGCTTAAGCATTGACCTAATAAAGTTAATGTACTGGTCCTTGGTCACTATAGTCCCGATAAAGCATCTCCTTAACGTTTTTAGGCTATAGGAAAAAGGAGTAAGTTGGACAGTATATCGAGCTTAAAATTCAAATTTTGATTGATGGCAGTTATAACAATGAAACATTTTGAAAACAATATCTAGATTAGATATCATTCTTTGGCGACACAGTTAGCATTAATTTCAATTTCCAAGCAAACAAAGAAAGCAGACCGCGAAATCCATTCGTTTTCAGAACCGAAAACAGCGCTAGCGCACACGCCGACAAAAAGATCTTGCAGCATCATGCTTATAATATATGTTACAATAAATACAATATCTGACTAAAAAAGTTAGTTTGTCGAATACAGCGCTTTATACCATTCAAGCCTAATTTTTTTGAAAATTTATAAGATTTGGATTTCATCAAAGTCTGTTTTTGATGCCTTTTTCGGGTATACTTTCCAACGTTACTTTCAAAGCGTTCGACAACATTCGTTCTATTTCACTTTGTCGCATGATTGACCTGATCAATGTTGAGAGAAAAATGAGGCCTTTATCGTACCCTTCAAAGCTAAACATGCTGAATTAACATATTCTTTTATGGGAGAGCGTTTATATGTTGACATGTAGATGTCTTTCTGTTTTATTATCATAGTGTTTGTATGTGTATACATGATTTTAAATTCCTCTAGAAAACATCCATTTTCAAATAATTCAATGCCAACAGTATTTTCGTCTTTTAGATGTATATCTATTTTCTTTTTCTTTTTCGTATAGCATGTTTAGTATAAATAGTAAATAAATCTCGAAAAACAAATATAAAATGTTTGTTTCTGACTCTGTTCATTGTTTTCAGTTATATATATTAATTCATTTTTTGCCATAATTTTTATTTTTACATTTATTCACAATTATTCTATATCTAGCGTAACTTGGGAGGGTTAAAAGCTAAAAAATATTGTAATGACAAGATATGTCCATTGTCGAAGACTTTATAGCTTGTTAGAGACATGCGCTGTTTGAACTGTAGAAGTAAGGAGTTTTGTGTCGATTAATTGGGTTGACTGTCTGAATTATTTATGTATACTTCACATCTCCTTTAAATCATATTTAGAAATTAAAATATGTTAACATGCACAAATAATTGCTTTTATAGTCTGAGAGTCGTTTTTTCTTCTTATTATTATCCCCTCGTCTTATGTTCTTCACATTCAGCTATCTTGCCACGGTAAGATAGCTAGGCATCGTCTAGCGCAAACACTCCTCGAAATTAATTGATTTGGTTATGTCCTTTTTTAGGCAGTTAAGCTGCCTTATGCGAGCACCCTAGATTTGTGTTCAGGCTACCCAATAAATGCTGAAATACGGGCCATTGTTATTATCTAGCTGGCTATTATGTTATTTATAACTAATTGGACATTGTTTTAATACTTTTATTTCTGGAATACAAAAAATATGACCAGAAAACCCTTAAATGATCGTCGAACTACCCAACACTTTTGAAGTTGCACATAGGAAGTAGTGCTCAATAGACTTGAATCCGTACGTAGTTTAGTATCCCCTGTGCTTTTAGCTACGATGTCAAAGAACAATTGTATGAAATATTTAATCGCCGAAAATCGGTAATTACAAGTCGTTTATATTTCCCAAATGGCAAAATGCGCAGGAATATTGTTCATGTACAACAAATCTCTATGATAGAGGAAATAAAGTTATATATTTCAACTTATCTTGCCAAATAACGTTGTTGTTAATTTATGAATGAAACGATGTCATGAAACAGATGCGGAAATAAGTAATGTGGACAACTCGTCCTCGAGACAAGTCGGACCGAATCCACTCAAACCGTCTAAGAAGACAACTTTGACCGTTTGTCAGATATACTTAGGGTTTCATAAAATATTAGACTAACATGTCTAGCGGAGCCATTAATCTTTTGTTTGTGCATTGCGGTCTATTTAGGGGTATTTGGAGGGGCCTGAAGAAGGGAGGGGTTTACTATAGAACCCTATGGGATTTTATTTTTTTTAAATTTTCAAATGACTATTTCTCGAAAACAGTAAGTGATAACCACATGCAGTCTTCAGTAATGAGAACAGGACAATAAAAAAATCAACCAAAATATAGGGTGAGTCCCTGGGGGTCATCCAAACCCCTTAATTTTGAAAATGTACATTTATCTTGTAAACCGTCGCGATCCCCACCCCTAAACAATATATATATACTTGTAAGGGACAATAAAAGAAATCAAATGAAAATAATTTGGGGGAGTCCCAGGTATCGTCCCACCCCCTCCTGTTTGAGAACTTGGAAATGGTCGAGATCCCCACCCCTTAACCATATATATTCATGTATGGGACAATAAAACAAATCAAATGAAATATAGGGGGAGTCCATGGGGACACCCCACCCCTCTTGTTTGAGAATTTGTAAACAGTCAAGGTCCCCACCCCTAAACCACATATATTCATGTATGGGACAATATAACAAATCAAATGAAATATTTGGGGAGTCCCTTGGGTCAACCCACCCCCTCCTGTTTGAGAACTTGGAAATGGTCGAGATCCCCACCCCTAAACCATATGTATTCATGTATGTGACAATATAACAAATCAAATGAAATATAGGAGGAGTCCCTGGGGTCACCCCACCCCCTCCTGTTTGAGAACTTGTAATCAGTCAAGATCCTCACCCTAAACCATATATATTCATGTATGGGACAATATAACAAATCAAATGAAATATATGGGGAGTTCCTCGGGTCACCCACCCCCTCCTGTTTGAAAACTTGGAAATGGTCGAGATCCCCACCCCTTAACCATATATATTCATGTATGGGACAATAAAACAAATCAAATGAAATATAGGGGAGTCCATGGGGACACCCCACCCCCTCCTGTTTGAGAACTTGTAATCAGTCAAGATCCTCACCCTAAACCATATATATTCATGTATGGGACAATATAACAAATCAAATGAAATATATGGGGAGTTCCTCGGGTCACCCCACCTCCTCCTGTTTGAAAACTTGGAAAGGGTCGAGATCCCCACCCTTAAACCATATATATTCATGTATGGGACAATAAAACAAATCAAATGAAATATAGGGGTAGACCATGGGGTCACCCCACCCCTTCCTGTTTGAGAACTTGTAAACGGTCGAGATACCCACACCTAAACCATATGTTTTCCTGTTCATCATTTCAAAAAGATTTGAATGACATACAGGGTCAATCTCCTAGGTGTCACATATGCATATCACTTCACTAGACCAAACCAATATAAACTGGACTTTGTCCAATGTCAGGAGACCATTGGAATGACAAATTATGGGGGCTTTGTTTGGGAGACTTCGTAACGGCATCCTGTTACAATTATTTGTTTATTATAAAATTTTATTGATGCAAAAAATTAGTCTATGTTAATTGAATTTACTTAAATTATTTATTGAATTATTTCTGGGCCTATAATAATTTTCCTTTATGGCCCATTTTAAAGAAAACATATAAATCTTTCAAGCAGTGTAAAGCCCGAGAATGTTTGACCAACTGTTTTATAATCACCTGTCATTTTATTCCAAACTTGGTATGGAGTAACATCATGCACTTGGGGTGAAGATGGGGGTCATTTACATAGATATATGAGTTGCTT